TATATATATATAGAATAATTCAGAACAACTTTCTTTTATTTCTACTTTTAGTTTAACATGTATCTTATGTATTTTGAATCTTGCACCCAAAAATTATAGATAAATAAAAGCTACTATTGTTACAGTTCAATACCAATTTAAATCTTATTACGACATATAATGATAAGACATACAGAAAAAAAATCCGGACACGATGGATGAATATCCACTTCATCGTTCTCTTGACATGATTCGCCTATTGACTAAAGCAAATTTTCCTACTGCTTTGCACGGTTGTCTGATCTATTTTCCTAATTTGAGTTTTCCCGCCTTTTCGTTCCCTCACCAGTTCGACCCCGATAGTGCACATGCAGACGCTATTTTGCTGCCTGATAGATACTGGTTGGGTTTGTTATTGCTCAATTTGTATTTGGCCGTATGGGTGTTTAACATGCTTGTGAGTAGAGTATATGCGTAACTTAGCGCGCATTGCTAACCTCTCTCTTTTGTCATAGGCGCTACCATTGCTGGTGCCATCACAGTCATTTGTTGTCGTCGTCGTCATCGTTACCTCTGTGCGCTCCGTATTGCTGATGGTGAAGCTAATCGTACGTTCAACGGTTTGCTACCAGCATTATACCAGTCGTACCCCCGCTACAGTTGTCATCGTGGTCCCCTATTTGTGCGGCCGCTAAAGCCGTCGACCTGCCTGTTTGCCTGCCTGTCTGTCTGTCCGCACGTCCATCCGCCCGTCCATCCGTTCTCACTTGTCTGTGTCTGGGTTTTTCTCAAGAGTGTCAATGTTTTGTTATTGACCAGTCACAACGGCAGCAACGACAGTGTTAACTGCGGTATAATCTCTAGCAACAGTGAAATCACATCGGAACAGCGGCCTGGGGGTGGACAAGCTTTGCCTGTGTTCATGCCATCTCACCAGCAAATCAAGACTGCACATTCTACTCGCACTCTACTCAATTGCGGGTGACTGGCTGCCTGCTGGTGCTGCGCCACTCTTGCGGTAACCGCTAGTGCCGTTCGATTGCTGCTGCTGTTGCTGCTGGTGGTATTTTTAATGTCTTCGGTTGATGTTGTTGTCCTTATTGTTGCTGTTGTTGTCCACCGTCCTGCTGCTGCTCATCTTTTTCATGTTCTGTTGTGCCGCACCGAGTCCTATAACTGACCGTGCTGTCTGCCCTCACCTTTGCGGCTAGGTACTCGAAAATACATCGCGAACGGTTAGTTACTTTTGTTCAGGCTTCTGCTTACCACACGAGCTAGTTAACCGACAAACTTGCCGACCGTGGTCGTGCTGCCGCGGCGGGGACAACAACGGTAAAAGCAGCAGCAGCATCAAAAACAACAATAGTTACTCGTCACAGGAATGGTAATCATACGAAGGGTGCAGGGTACGATAGTAACGACTCCTGCACGGATAACACCCCACAGCGGGTAGCTAGTGTCTGGACAGTGTTGATATCAGCAGTAGATCGTCGAATACTGCCATTCTACATGGTTGCAGCAGGAACCACTAGTAATCGGACTACGAGTTGCGATTACCAAAGGAATCGAATCGTTTCGGTCTGGAGAACCGTCAAGGGATATACCACACACTGTGGTAAATACGCCGGTTTCTTTGTGCATGCAAACCTCACCGCTGACTGGATCGTTCTGAGTCGCGACTGAACTGACCAGCATTGTCAGTCGGGTACCATGAATGTGTTCGAAGCGAAACTTTAGTCCGTCAACACCCAGGCTACTGAGTGAGATCCTTTGGTTCCATATCTGAATTAAGGGGATCAGCAAAATGGTGTCAACAGAACGCACAGTTAGCCAGAGATTGTGTAAGAGGAGAAACGACCGCGGCAATTCGAGCGATTAAGCGAGTTGAGGGAGAAAGTGGACTCTAGGGTGACCGTAATTTGAGTTATCCATTCTGAAAAAGCATGATTTAAAGTTTAAATCCCGTTCTCATTTGATCGCTGTGGCGTCCTGTTGGTGTTCAATTAAAGCTGTTTTAGCAGCACATGCCAGTTGGTCGTTCACCTGTATTTACGTTGTTGATCGTAGAATCTCTGCTGCATTTCTATCGCGGGCACATTTGCTCTGCTTTCACTGTGTCTGCGGCCACCGAACCATTACAGGTGTTGACTAACTTCGACACACAGCATGCAGATTGCGTTCTACGGCGACTGGTGAGTGGAACTTATGGTTATCAATCTGTAGCCCGTCTCAGTTTCGTATCTGTTTTCTGTCTAATGCGGTCGTTAACTACCTTGCGTAAGGATTGCCCAGCCGCGTGAGCAAAACTGAAGTCGCTTGGTAAATTTTTGTCGTCGTCGTGAATTCTGCAAGTCTAAGCCAACGTGTTGGTTGAATTGGTAAGTAAAAATTACATAAGAGAATTCGATAACAATAGCACCGACGAATCTTACGGGCTCGTGTTGCTATTGGAGTTTACCAAGGGCGCGAACTATCTCCGAAATAAAATTGCAGTGCTGATAGCAGTCCTGAAGACTATTTAATATTAAGGCATTGGTCAAAAATTTTCCCAGGAATAAACTAAATACTATTGGTTTTTGTAGTCGTGGGCTATCATAAGGCACGTGGCAAACTTCTCTCTAACAATTGCGGTGAACCGTTACGTCTTTACATGTTACAATAGAAAGAAAACAAGGTTTGGTTGTAGGCATGGTAAATTATGTTACAAGAATACACAGAACTAGTGCTGGAAGTCCTGGTAGCAAGTAGCTCTCCTGTAATTTGTCGAACTGTAAATGTTAGTTTAGCCTGATTCTCCGAATCTGAATTGAAAGATGGTTATTAAACAACTATCCGTATGGCTAAATGAGTTTGCTGTATTGCCAGCAAAAAATGTTGACTGTGGTTATGCTTGCATTGGCGCCGTGGTTTAATTGCTAGTCTAATATGTCATCATTTTGTAGAGCGCCTATCACTTTCATGTTTTGTGATTAATTCGAAGGTGCAAGCAATAATAGCCCATATGAGCTCCTAACATGGAGTCGTGGATACTCTTGGGAGGACACGCTGCAAAATCAGGAGGTATTATTCCGATCTAATTTTTTCAGCTCGTTTCAGCCTGTCGGGCGTTGAAACATGAAGCTATTATTTTCCAGTTTCTGTTTGCTCCACCATCAAATTCTGCATGTTCCTGGTAGATATCTTTTATAGTAGATGTATAACATCAATAGTTTTAATTTCTGGTATGTTCCCTTAGTGTTAAAAGAATTCAAGGTCGGAGAATACAAGTGCTATTTTCGAAAGTGCAATACGTTGTCCTCCTTTATAGAAGATTCTGACAACTGAGCAAATTTGTTACTAGATTGCTCCATCTTCCCTTGTTTTGACTATATCGGATGAATTAGCGAAAATTGAGCGAAGCAAAGAAGATGATTCCTTTGAGGGAAATTTGTGTAGAAATCTGGGCTTATTGTGGTTAGGATATTGCGACTATACATATTTAAAAAAAATATTAAACAAACTCACCTATAATAATAGAATAATAAATACAATATTGTTAGATCTAGTAGTGCGGTATCTGAAGCAATGCTTAATATCAGTACCAAATGTAATTATATTAGACCAGAGTATATGTATAATTACGCATTTTCAAAAAAACGTGTAAAGGAGTTTAAAAAAGTGTATTATATAAAAATGCTTAAAATGAAAAGTTAGTAGAAGAAACCACTACATAAAGGCAGTCTTCGCGAAACCGCTAGTCAAAGCAAAACGAGGACAGAAAGAAAAATGATAACAATGACATCGGATAGTTCTATATTGCTTCTGAGTGATCAATCATCTTTAGTGCAGTATCGTTCGTCTACACTTATACTTATCGTCTATACTTTCATATATACATCAATCAATGATTGAAATCTTTCTTAAGATTTCAACTATTACAATACGTGCGTTTGGATCATGAAACGATTGTAAAACTGTAATTCAGTATATACGCGATTTTTCAGGTATCTGGCTAATTTCTCTGCGGTTATCGACTGGTTGGCAGGTAGAAGGAGGCTACGAAAGAGAGCCCGGCTTACGTGACGGTTGTTTTTTGTACCTTCGCTTCGCTCCGCAGGTAGACACGGTTGAAAAGTGACCCACATTGAAGGTGTAGAAATGCGCGCGGCCGAACGCTGCCACGTGCGTGATTGCCCGGCACGAGAGTGGACGGCACAGACGCAGCAACAACAGCAACAGGTAAACAACACATTTCGTCATTTGTGACATCAGACTTCCGTGCCGATAACGACTTAAGCGGCAAGCTTTCTATTTTCGTTTCTTGGGAAGCAGAAATTGGCCTTCGGAATAAATTCGTTTCTAACATATATTGAGATTGATTTAAAGTAGGACAGCTAGAACATGCTATGATGATTGCTGCACTGAGCAAGCTTAATGTACTAGAGTACTAAAACTGTATTTATTTGCGTGGAAAAATTCGTTTTGGTATATAGACGCGAATGTGTCGATCTTTGGACAAGCTATTATGTAAGCTAATATGGTTCACCTTACTTACTACGCATTGTGTACTAACATACTCGCAAATTAGGCATCGAAAATTCGCCACTTGACAATTTTGTGTGCTTTTTTGCTTCATGGGAACACGAACTGTTCATTCTTATCTAGGGATTCGAAGAAGTGTTTGGATTTGTAATTAATTGATAATAAAACTGCTTTTTTATAGTTGAATTCTGTTCGAAATCTGTTTCTAAGCAGGGAACTGGTGCGGATGGAACTGTAGTTCCATCGATGCCGATGGCCAACGGCGGAAATGTGGTCTTTCGTGTCCCGGGTGACATGCGCTTTTTAAATGTCGTTCTATCAGCCATTGCACGACGCTTTCGAAACCGGAAAAACAACTTCATGTGCAAGGTAGATGGAGGCGATAATGCCTGATCATATGGGGACATGCGCTATATGAATATGCTAACGTTCTGCCAACTAGCTGACCAGTCATTCATCACTGATTCATTTTGTCGAATAAGTTGCACGTGGCCTGCGTTTCTTCTCAGCGTCATTAGTGGTAACAAAAAAGAGACATCGATACAAATTTGGTGAAGGTGTACGAAAAACTTCCTATACAAAAGAGAGAAAATTGTAGGCGGACGGATTTCCAGTTTACATTTATAGTTTTTTTTTTTAATTTTAGTTTCTTCATCTCTTTCTTTATTGATACGATCAACTGCAACTAACGTGAAGATTTGAATAGAGATGTTAGTGATACGTTGAGCTGAATATATTAGCAGACGGAAAGAAAACAGTCTAACGAATTTGTTGGTTTATTTTTCAGGCCCATTTTCTACCGGAAGACCTTCTGTTGACTGGGTCAGGTATTTCGTTGAGTAAACGAGCTGTTCCGTGTTTTCAGGTTCCGCGAAAGACCCTTAAGGTAAATAGAGGAAGCATACTTTGATGTAATTTTTGTTGAAGACGTCCATTGAAATTAGAACCATCTTATTTGTACACCATAACAGTAACGGAGATATTCTCGTTCAACTCTGACTCTATCTGATGGTAATATCTATATAAACGTAGTATACACGTGGTGGTCTATGTTTGAGGGCGCACATTGATGCCCTTCACTACATGCTAGGAGCCAGTCGTCTGAAGTAATGCTTAACGGTTTAAGTTCCAGACGTACAACACGAAAGCACAATGTAACATTCCTACTAATAATACTGGTCAAATAACAAAGTTGGTTGTTCGGACACTTATGATTTAACTTAAGGTATTTGATGTAATTGATGTATAGTTTTGTTGTAATTGATGCTTAGTATATTCTTGAAACAATTTTATACTTAAAGAGTTGGCGATTAGACATGAGAGTTTAATTCTGCTCGACGATTCTGTTACAGATGGTCGTTCGCAACGGTGTCAGCGCAAAGCATTCAGAAGTTGCGTGCGCATTATTGGAGAGGTCGAGGGGGACGACTTATTTGTTGGCTTCTCATGACTCTTCGTCCGATTCGGATGTTCCCTCGGGAGGAGACTGCTGCGGGACTGGGGGACTCGAATGTCATGGGAATGCTCCATCCGTTCCGCCGATTTGTCACCCCGGTTTACCACAATACCTCCATGCGTCGGCTATGCCTGAAGCGACTCTTACGCAGGCACGATCAAGTTTTTACTTACTTAAAAAAGACTAGTTTAAATTTTGTCTGGAATTAAGTTATTCAACAGTATAACGTGTGACATTGATGATAACATTCAAGATCTACATTCTTCTTGAAACTGTACTCGAGATGGTCTTGACATCAAAAGCACTTTGTGTGTCGAGGCCTAGGATTTTAGTTTGAGTCAAACAACCCCTAACTTTTATAATAAAAGTTTTTAAATAAATGTTTTTAACTTCTAGAGGCTACAATTCTCTGGCATTTGTCAGAACAAAGTAACAAGTGGCCTTAACGTGAAACGATCGTCCGCAAACTTCATTTCGCGTAAGTTCCGAACACCCTTTGGCGAAAGAACTTCTACTTTTAGTTTTGTGCGATTTTCGTTACTGAGTGCTCTCAATGTCGCGGTATTTTCTTTGCTGCTCAAATGATTCTATATATACATATGTATGTCGAATAAAGAGGCTTGCAATTCAAATAGAATGGGTATAACAGTGAGGTTATAATCTTTCCAAGGAAGTCAATGTTACTCTATTTAAAAAAGCCTGTATTGCGCATAGTTGAGCAAAAAGGTAAAGTATTGACTATTGTCTAATCAGGTGATGACGGAATGGCCGGTGACAGTTTGGTGGACTACAAACGATTGAAGCTATCCGACTCGGATAGTCCTCCTAGTCAAGGACATGGTGACGTGGCAAGTGATGCATCCGGGGCTAATTCAAGAGCTGGTAAGTGGAGTCACTCGATTGAGAGATTCGAAGGTGTTCAATGATTGCGCGAAAGATCTTAACGACTCTTACATTAGTTATCGCAAATATGATGTTGCGTACATCCACAGTATAGACAACACTAATTATGATTTCGATGAACTGAATTGGGTAAAATTTCATTTAACCGACACCTCTTGTAACTTGCAGAATGTTAAAAAATATTTCGGAATGAAACGCTACGAAAACCAGAAGAGTATTTTCAATCTGACCGAAATCCTTTGGGCTGCATCCTTTGGAAAGTGAATATACAAAAGAAAAATATCATTTTAGACCTAACTTTCACGTATATATTTATATATGCATGTCAAATTTGTTTAATAAATCTTATTTAAGAAAAGGAATTTAATCATATCAATGAAATTTTATCTCACTCATTATGCCTAGGCCTTTTTTCCACAGATGAGGTTGCTGACGAAGGTGATGATATGGAGGATGAGTCAAAAGATATGGATGAACAGATTAGTGAAGAACGGCTGGATTCCTCATTAGACGTAGGCTCAGCAGCCGAGCCAGCTACACCGCCGTATCCGACATTACGTACGCTCAATTCGCCTCTTAAGGGACTTATAATCGGTCAGGAAACTAGTCCAGCCTTGACCACAGCTAATGCGACAGGTCCGACGTCTGCCAATCCAGCAACCACTCCACCTATCTAGTTCGGACTGATTATAGGTTTCATGAGCAATCTAGAATGTCAGAAATAACCATCAACCAAAAAAAACAACAAAAAATCACCAACAAAACAGTAGGGAACAAAACCGCGCGTCCAACTCGATATTATTAATATACGTAGAATCCGTCCCAAAACCATTGTCATTCGAAGGCTTTCATGTGAGAACCCACCGCACCCCCTGCCTATCTGTTGAGACCTAAAGGCTCAACGGATATAAGCATGATGACGGATGTAACAATAACAACAAAAACCATTTGCGGCAGCAACAACAAAATACCAACACAATTAGGCCAAAAGCATTTCTTTCACGCAACAACAATGCTGTAATAATAATTACAACTACGAAGGATATGATGATAGCGGTGAACGAAAACTATACAGAAAATCTATCGCTTCAAATGTAGGGCTCGATACCAGTACAGTCTCGGATGTCGGATATCGATAGCGTAAATTCATATGTTTGTCGAGCTTATCGTCGACCAAGGCTTGACTCATGTTAAAACAAAAGGGCCGCGTTATGGCCTCGGGGTTCATTTGGGATGCCGTTTGATACTTTTTGGATCGAGTAGACGTTTCCAATAATTTAGCGCACGATGTTTATTCCGTCATCCCTTGTTCAGGAAGATCTGAATGGTGGGGTTATACCCCTTATAATGATGATAATGATTATACAATAATGTAGATGTATATTGCTGATGCTCGGTAATTGCAAGTAAAAAAGCACGTAGGGAGTTGCTCAGCTCCCAGGAAAAAGCGGGATATCCATGTAAGTATCAAACTGATGTAGAGAGAAATGAATATATGGAAAACAGATTATGCTGACCAATAAATCAGTTATCTGTGTAGGGGAAATATCATGAGATACGTTTATCGCAAACTGACGTTAATACAACATAAACCTTGTGAGTGTAAGAGTGACTATTGTGGGAGGTGAAGATGGCAGATGCAAACGTAGCAAATCGAAATTAACAGTATACTTTTTTAATTAGACCCGCCAGTCGTACGGGCTCTGTATGTGTAGCGAAATAATTTTGTGTCGCGGCAATTCACAATATCGACACGGGGTACTCGGTAAGTCATGTCCCCTAGTTGACAAAAGCGTTAAACAACTCGTTACCACTATACATATCACAGCACAAGGGGTCAAAGCAACCGACAATTGACTTCTATTGAGAAAAACACGATCTTAATCATAAATCAATCACTCTCTGAAGAATATGATTTGCGCTTTTCATCCAAACCATTGATGGTGTTCAAGGGGGTCAGTGCTTAGCTGATGACAAAGTGGTTTGTAGAATAGGTTTAATGATACGAACAACGCTAGCGACGAACCCCAGTCAACGCGTCGGGTAGAACACTGCATTTGCTACCTATGCGTGAGTGAGTGCGTGCGTGTAAAGCTAACGCGATGTACCATAAAATAAAATCCAAATTTTTTTTGATTCTTCTATAAATCATTATGCAGTATAAATTTCGCAGTCGCATATTAAAGCCTCATTCATTAAGTAAAGAGTGAATATGGTAAAGCATATATGGTAAAACCGCTATAGACGAAACATCGTTTCATATCGACAATTCCGCGCACCTCTTAGCATTTGGGTTTGCATGTCTGGGTGGACCCGGTGACTATGATATAATGGTGATGATGATATTCTAGGCTTTCTATAGATGCTTCTGCTGGCGGTGCGCGTTCTTCATTTTTTTGTTCAGGTGTTACTATGTGTTTGTTTGTGCTGTTAAGATGAAACGTGATGAACTTGTAGATGGCGTATGGACGGTAGAAGAGTCAATCGTTGAGATCAAATATAGTAACCCTCTAATAAATGATAAGCATTAGTGCCGAAGCCTGAAGCTCGCTATTAAAGGGTCGTTACTACTTGCAAACAAGATAATCAGTATTGCAATTTAATTGGAGCAATACAACATACTCTATTGCAGTAGGCGAAGAAAAGATCGGAGGACATCAATTGAAGTAGACGAATTTATAGAGTAGGCCTCTATTATTATTATTAATTCTAATGAAACAAGACGGAATATGTGATGTCGAAGGGCGAGTCTTGTTAGTGATGATGTTAATCTTTGTGGTTACATAAACCATGAATATGTATTATGTAGGTGGCAATCCTTGGATGTGTTTAGTTTCATATTGTGAGTAAAATGTCATTATCTAAAGAATCTGGCCAGGCGCTGGGAAGAATCTAACGGAAAAAGCTGCACTGCGACCTTTTCGAAAATTCCAATTGGAACACGGAACGAAAAGCCTGTTCCAGAAATATGCGGTCAAGTTTTGCCTTTGCATATTCTTAGATGCTGGGTGCTGGCCGAGTTTTGCGAAAATATTCGTGTATTAAGGGTGATTTTGTCGGCAGACTTGAAACTACGAAAATATGAATGTGTTTGGATCTTCATTCAATTCAATGGGCATGCATTCTTAGATGTGGTTTTTTGGCAAACCAATACATCGATTATTTGCGCTCAATCTGCTACTAATTTACAATTTAATCATATATTCCGACAAGTTTTAATAGCGAAACCTACCTTTTCCCTACCTTAGTGGCTGCCATTGCTTAGAAAAACGTTTGTCCGTTGACCAGTGTAATGTCAGGTTGATATCCTAAGTTTGCAGAAATGAGTCTACTGATTTAAAGTATTTCATTAGTTGTTAACCTGCTTCAGGTGCGCGTCAGGTTACGTGAAGTTATACGGTGTAGAGTATAACCAATTTTGCTGTGCGGCCTATCAAATGAAGAGCATTTGCATCAGTTACTTTTTTGGTGTAGCCCACCGTCACGTTGGCTTCTATTCTTAAGCAAGAGCCATGGAATATATCTTACACGTGAGTCTGCATACAAAAACTCGCATTTTACATTACAGTGTAAAGCATTCTTAATGACGGTGGATTGTCAGCTATTTCTCTCTTTGCCTGTACTTCTAGTCGTTTTCTATCGAAATGTCTGTGTCCTTGCATCAACTCGTACAGAGGAACAGATACAGCAGATACTGCATAATGCACAATAAGTCTGTGAATTACACAAATGTTGCCATGATTGTAGAGCGTGACGTGAACGAAAATACGCCTATCACGATGGTCATCATCATTACTAATGAACAAGTGGATGATACGCGGACTCCACTTATGGTCATAAGAATTATGCTTCATGTATAAGACGTCATATTCCCGGTGGTATATATGCTAGCGAGGAGGCAAAAAGACCTCAAACATGATAGGTGAGTGAAGAGTAGCGAAGCAGTCGAAGAATGGCGAGAACAACGACATCGAACGTGCTGCTGTGGTCGCGGAGATGTCCACATCTGATGACATGTGTGTTCTCGACGCTATAATGACCCTGAGTGAGACCAATAAAGTCAACAATGATAGAATAATGATAGAAATAGGATGAAAAACCTCAGAAAACGGTAAAGGCAACTAGGTACATGTGGGTACACTGAGAAGAAAATACAACGGAAAAAACTGTATATAAACAGGAAATGATTGCAAGACAAGAAGGCGAAGAAGAGTATAACACACGTTAACATTAAAGGAGAAGAGGTTGTAAGCTATTCTTCGGTAGAATATCGGAGTTTATCTGCCAATTCTCAGAGAGAGTTTTTGCGAAGTTGATATAGACGCATATAAATTCTTACTTAGATGCGCCTAGAGTTGACTTTTTTAACTTAACAAGTTTTTGTCCGAAACGTACTTTTAACAGTTCCAGGGCCACAATCTAATGGCCTTCAAAATGTTTGTCGATTATCTAACAACTTCTAAAAGATTATTAAGCAAAGTCAGTAACGGTGTGTGGGGTATAGCTACAGCTAGCGTATAAACATGGAAATGCTTTTTATATGAGCATTCGTTAGCGGCTATATAAACGTTGTCTGTGCGTTTGTGTCTACTGGACTTCGTATGAGGGGTTGCTAAGTAAGAATGGAAGACATGCAAAATTTGGAGCTAATTCAATTAACGGTCCGCTGGAATAGCGATTAACATACGCTAGAGTTGATCAGCAAATTCATCGATTTCGATCATGCGCTGTATTAGATGTGCTACTGCGCTGTGGACAGATAATGAATGGCTGGTGTAAAAGATATATGAGTCAATACTACAATGGTATACTTAACAAACTAATTATGAGAATTATCGTACCTAGAGTAACAATACTATTAATGATTATTATAAAAACAATAAAAAAATAAGAGCCTATATTTTGTCTGGTATCACCAATGTTTTTCCTGTTCGTGCACGGGAATTGAGTGAAATGAGAGAGAATTTAGTTCCAATATTTATTTCAAATTAATCCTACTCAATAGTTATTGGCTATGGGTAATAGTATTTGTGCTAGGTTGTTTATAGAATACTTACGCTTACTCAGACGAACATTCATTAATTCGTCTGGGTAAACGTTGGTAAAACTTTGTTGCAGTGCAAATTTAGTATATTAGCTTGTGAAAATGGCCATGTTTCGTTAAAATCTGATTTTGCAAAATATAGTAACCCTTTGTTGTTGCAAGCTAATTTGAGAAAGATATTTCTTAATAGGATCTAGTTTTATAAGGGATGTGATACCTTAACAATGAAAATGTCGCACCGAGAATGATGCAGCCAGTAAGCCATTTATGTAATTCTTATAGTTAACAGTGACACTTAAAACTCTGAAAAACACATACCACTATAATACTACACTATAATAATATAATACTATAAGTATATATATAGTATAATAGTATTACTGCTTACATGATGATTAAAAATAATTGACTTCAGTTTGCTTTCTATGTAAAAAAAATAGTTACTAAAATGTACATAAGGTTCAGATTTACACTTAGTTGGCACATAAACTAATATTTGCGTTGTATTTTAGCTAAAGCTTTTAATTTAAAGTAAAAATTCTTGTGTCTTTACACTTCGTATTTTGTGGCTCCATCAAACGTAAATAGCTTCGTAAAAAACATAAATAGAATGATTCTTGTACTGTTTATTGTTATCAGTTAAGAGTATATGTTCGCGGACATATTAGTGATTATATGCTTTTTCTTTTAAAAGCTGCACTGGGTCTAAGCAGAACGAAGTGCTATGTAGTGACGTTTATATTTTGTTCACTCACAAACTTTGTAATAATTTAACCTTCATCAGAATATCGTAAGGCTTTACAACTGATTCTTGTATCTTGTTTCAATCTCTTATTTCGTCCCTTGAAAATTGTAACTTTTTTACTAATCCATATAAACTAGCGAAATCGAACAACACGAAAGTCTGTTACCGTAGTGAATCCGATTGCTTGTCACGAGTGTGAAGCAATTTTGACGTCAGTTCTCTTTAAAAAAATCTAGAAAGTAGTTTACATACTAGGTTATGAAACTTCGCTATCCCCACCAGCTTTTGTTTTGTATTTAATTCCGCTTGAGCGTAAGCGGTTAAAGATTTGCATGACATAAAATTCCGTGACGACGCCAAGGCAGTTTCATATTACTGCACAAAAAACGGCGCGTGGACCTTATATTATTGTGATGAAAAATCCACCGTTTATTCTTCTAGAGTTTAGGCGTATTAGGGCGTAGGGAAAATAGTGCTAAGCCATTCCCCTAGAAATGTTTGGTAATATTCCTCAATGGTAGTGGAACCACAACAACCCTTAACTATCTAATAAAAGAAAGTCGGCGATAAAAAACCGCTGACTTTTTGATACGAATGGGATGATCGTTCAAAACGATACTTGAATGACTGTGCCTTTTTTTTGCGTGTCATACCCTTAAAGCAACGTCTCGTCGTCTGTATTGACAAGCTTGAGCAAACTTGACTTCTTGAGTACGTTAAGATTTTCCTAATAAGTTCATGGATGTGATTTTGTTCGATATTTTGTACTTAGGCGGAATTCTTGCAGTGAGTCACTACGCCTTTAAAATCATCTATCAGAATGGTCCAGCGTGGCTTGTGTGGAAAATCTCACTCATTTTCAGGTTTCTTGGGGGTAATTTGCTAGATTCCACGTTTCATCTTTATTCGCTGTGATAAATTGGGCAATACGAGGACTGTTTTTAAAACTTAACGGGTTGGGAAATTGTTGTATACTCCCACACTCAGTGCTGACTCATAGCCTGGTCCCTAAAAGCCTTTTGCAACGTTCGTACCAGTTTTGAGCGCTGTTTCGTTTTTAATACCGAAAGAAATCACGTACTTTTTATTTTTCTGGTACTGGATTTGCATTTTCCAAGGAAATAAAGCACAGCCACAAGTTACTTCCAAGCGCTTGCTGTACTTTCTAATAGTTTGAGACTTGGCGTGCAGATAGTAGGCAGGCAGATCAGTGTCCCGCCGTAATCCTGGTCACGGTCCGGCCTTCAATCTACAATCGCCAATGACTTTATCAATACTTTTTTGAAATCGTTGTATTTATAATGCATTAATTGATTATGAGTAACACGGTTAGAAATATAATACGGGCTAGGAATGGCTTTAAACGTCTGCTTTACCGATGACATGGTTGAGGTAAAATAATAAGTTGAATGCACTAAGAAAAAGAACCGTCGCTTCGCGTTCAGCTTAATCGCCGCCATAAAACTTGCCTAGTTCTTCAGAGCACAAGATGTGCTATTGGTATTTGGTGATGATTTTGAGTATTCTAAAGAAAACTTGTCTTTGCGAAGCACAGTACAGGCATCCTAATAACTACCACTGCCTTTTCTCGCACTGATGGTTGTTCTCAAGTATGCTTCTGGGTAACAGCGACAACAACTGAACCACGTAATTAACTTATCTGAAACTATATGTTCAAACTACTCATCATTAGCAATATATTTTGTTGGTAACTATTCACATCAAGTGTTTGGATCTCTACAACTGTCCGCTAATCAAGTGCCGTCATAAAATAATAAGTTTCGAGGCAAAGATGCTGTTTAGTATTGAAAACAAATATTATTTAAGTTCTCGCTTCTGGAAGATGAATATGGTGGTAAAATCCATCGAGCATAAATGTGCTGGCGAAATGCAAGAAGGGTTTCAGCGCAACAACAATTCGTTACTGGCGCAATGATTTTAAGAATTGAAATTGCGATCAGTAACGTTAAAATAGAGAACATGCTGCTACGATCACAGAGGCATTTAGTCAAAATATGACACAGAAAACGTGCTCTCTTTGTCGGTTCAGTATGAAATTCGTTGAAGCACGTGCTATCCAATAACAACGAAAATGCTCAGGATGATGATTTCTCATGAACCCAGCCCAAAGCATATAAAATTACGTGTGATGTACTAAAACGACAATTCGGGCAACTATCACCAACAAACATTTAATTAAACGAAATTTTGGTTTGACTGCTTGTTCGCTTAAGCTTCCTTAGCCAAACTTTTCATCACTCAGCCTTGATTTTCGACACTGACTAGTATCTCTGCCTCTAAACTCAATATTCTTTAAAAGCACTCAATCAGCTTATGAGTCATAGATAGAATTTAACGTACTAAAATGTGAAAAAAGGCTTAATGGTGTTTATAAAATGTAGTCTGCTAGACATGCATAGTTTCGAAATAGTCCAATTCTCTTAGCTTCTGATAAGCTCATAGATGCCGAACTAACTAAACCATGATAATCAACTTTTATTTTTGTGAATATTAATCCTTCATAACATGGCTCGTTTGAAGATCCTTTGCACCTTTAATTACGATTTTTTCGTACAACCGCCGGCTTTCAACGGTGCTATTTAAAAAACGCTACGGATTACTGTCGAACCTAGGCCTATCTCATATTATTGATTCTTAGAACCATATTCCGGGCTTTTAGGTCGCGTCCGACAATGATAATTCTATCGATAGGTTTTTAGCGACGTCGCGAAGGCCAACTTCAACCGAAGCCCAATACACAGATGTAGAATAGGCATCTTTTGGCTATATTTAAGCCTGAGTCAAACCAGTTGCATCCATTCAAGAGCTTGTTTACTGACGTAAGCACGTCGCTATGCGTACCTGCTGTGTGTTTCGGGGACCATTTTTCTAACGTGATCGTATCTCGTTTCGCTCGTGGGGAAAATCCTTTTGTTTACTGTTGAAATAAATATTTGCTTTCCTTACGGAAGTTATTGGCACTTAGCTTCTAGTGTGTACTCTATTCCGGGGTTCGAAAAAGACTTGCTAATTAGAGCCATTATATTTTTTGAAATTTATTATAATGTTTTCTATTTTTGCTTAAAAATTGTTAGGTTTCAGACATTTCTCTCACAAAAATCCATCGATAACGTCGCTCAGACTATTCACCTGAGCAGCAAAATAAAAACTTAATTGTATTTTTTAGATCCTTTTTTCGTCTTTTTTAGACTTTCTTTCGTCACTTAAATTTTGATAGCGTCGGAATTTTATTCAAAATGAGTCTAATTTGCTTTACGCCTTCTGATCATGTAGTCAACATAATCAGGGATGCAAACCAACATGCGCATATGAACATATTTAACACAATCGTTACCGCATTTTCCTGTTGAACCATTCGAAAAGATGGTTGTTTTTGGTCAACGAGTGGTCGATATAGGTTAACCACCGTCTTGGACGCCTACGTTCATTTCATCACTCGTTGTTTGCGATGCTGTCAAGCTAACTCATGCAGATGTTTTGTTAGTTGACATTTTTACAAGGGCGTAGCTAGTAAATGGCCACAAACATTTTTTGCGTTTCGGCTGCCGCAACTTGTCAAGGTAAAGGCGGCTAGGCAGGTATAAATCACTGGCGAACTACCCTCTTCGTCGGCATGTTTCAAGCCAGTCGGCAAGGAGGAAACAGCTCATGGTAAGCACCAACAACGTTGTGCCAAGTGGATTTGACATTTACCGGATTTGACATTGAACAACAAAAATCTCACTGAGGAATGTCACCGGTGGTCGGAACGGCGACAGTTTGCTGCCGCCATTTTGCCGACGATGAAAGATACAAGACATTTCTTTCTCAGTGTTCGTCAATCTGCTGTCTCAGGTGATAGCGAATGTTTTCGATAAGCAACACGCAAATTGGCGTATATGATATGCAAAAGATCATGTCACGATAAATTATGAGCGGATCGTCTGCTACTGTCCAGCTTTGTAGCTAGTTCACGCTTCGTGAGGTTGAAATGAATTCGCTCAGTTGAGGAGTGGGTACCGCGACTAGGGTAGGTAACAAGATAAATCTTTGGACTTACCCGTTTTTGGTCGCGCAACTAATCGGTGAGGCTCCGGGAGAAAGAGCTGATGGGAAGGGGGGATCTATACTATTATGCTAACAAATTTGCGCGGAATGCCATGGACATGAATATGTCGCGCAGCGACAGAGTCACACAGAAGTTTGAACGATATCTGGTCAGGTGATCAGATTGACGCCAATGGCGCGGATTTACAAAGAACAACCTCTTGATAAAAGCGACAAATTTCCTACTTTGCTTAGTAGACTTCTAAATATTGAGTAAAAACAACTGGAGTATTGAAAACTGGGCATAAACGGTGAATTGAGCACGTTTCAGTAAAAGCTCAGTAAATTTCTTTGTGCAAGACGACAAGCCCAGACGGTGAGTTTCTTAATCCAACGATTTGTGATCATTATGTGTCAACTTTAGGCTTCTGACAATCATTTAGCAAAGCAATCATTTTGAATGCAGCACCTGCCGCCCGCTAGAGAAACTAATATTTTTCATTTTCCGCTAATTTGATTGATTTTTCACCCATGCATATTGAATAGAATTTATTTTGATAGGAGACAGACCGGGATATCTGAAGTTATATGGCGCCAACTAAATATCATTTGATAATAGTAAGAAAAGTAAACCGAATAGTGACATGAAAAGTACGCGTGATTAGCGGCCAGCTCAAGCAGTGCTATCTTAATTCAAACTAAATTCAGCTTTGTTTGAATGTATCACTATTTTACGGGTCAAGCTCTTCAGATTGCGTGACGGTGCAGATCTGCGAAATTATCATACGTGCAACACGTAACCGTACTGTTAATCAATGCTCTATTGTATTGTACTGGAAATTTGCAAAATTATAACGAGCTCCTGTCCGCAACAAACACGTTTATTTCCTGAATACAAATGCGTCCTATTCCTGCTGTTGAAGACCTAACGAGCGGTTCAGTTGATGTCAATGAGAAAACACCACGGGCTGTTAATCAAATCTGAGGTTCGATATTATTCTCTTTAACACTGAGGACTGTTTGAAGTTGTGTTATTGTTTTGTCATGTGTACCGCTTAACTACACCTAGAAAAGGCCAATATGCCTTGTTGCAGGTCAGTTATAAACAATCAAGCGCTGATAATAATTATCTGCACTAGTACTGGAATCCGACTCGCCTGCGTCCTAAATCACACCTGTCTAAAACCTGCTATACGCCTACCTGACGCATTAATGATGACCCAAGCTATATAACGAGGACACTTATTGATTGTCGAAAATTGCAGAAAACACCCTGACAATGACGCGTCTAAATTACAAATGTGCTCTCCGTTGTTTTCTGGTCCTAACGATGATCGCTATCGTAATCAGCAACGCTGAACACTCCCGCACGCGCCGTCAAGCATTTTGCGCCGGCTATGGCCAAAGAGTATGTAATACTGCCTACTTATGCATGAATGTTGTGTTCTCATTGCTAACCCGCTATAGTAAAAGCTGGAGCAAACCGAGTAGACTAGTAACTGATTTGAGAACTGTAGCACGTTGAAGCAGTTGTGATCGGCTTCAGTGATTTCATTCAGTAAATTTGTCAGCTTACCCATTTTGGTAAAAGGGCGACGATAACACTTTTCCTCAGACATTCGTTCTTGCACGACGAGACTAAACGCAGGATATCTGATATGCACGTTTTGGCCTTTTTTTTAGTGCAATCCTTCCGACGCAATGTTCTGCTGCAGTCATATGGTCTGCACCGAATACAAGTGTGGCTCTCTGAACTCCCGCTCTGCGCCAAATATCTTCGTTGCAAATTCTGACGACAGCCGAAAATTCAAACCTTCACGGATCAAAAGCGCGGAAGGACGTTAGACTAATGCACGTTACCTAAGTGGGCTTGTTTACACACACGACCGTATAACACATGATTATCGCTAAGGATCGCTAGAGAGACCAAGCCTTACAGGGAGACAGTGCATTTAAACACAATCCAATCAGTCAGCTCAGGAGTAGAACTATATAGCTCATTTTTTTCTATGGCTGAAGCCTATGGTTCCTTGGTATCGTCGAAGCTGCTAAACGAGTGTTGAAAATTCACTCTGTATTTTTTAAAATCTAGTCTGTGCTATTGTGATCGTATGCTGAATAACTCATCCGGCGTCGCTGTTATTAGCAGATTTTTATGCTCATAAAAAACATATGTTGCATACAGAGTTCAAATAGCTTCGTTGTCTGACAGTATCAGTAAAGATTGTTTCATAAACCCACCTTCTTCATTCACCTATCTTCCTCATTTCGGACTGAGTATTGGTTAGTAAACGAATCTGTTCTTTATTCTACGAATATTCGCTCTTCGGGAAGGAAATGATACAAAGTCAGCAGAACGACAACAGAATTCACGATTTCTGGCTATGACCAGAGGAAAGCTATCAAACCAACTAAGTAATGGAAATAGACGTGCATTTTATATTCTCTATCTAATGCGCTCCACCCTAAGCTACTCTAAATTCAGGTATTGAGGAATATCTGGTGTGTCTTCTAGTCGACACGGCGGAGTAGCCGTGCTAAAGTGTATCCTTTGATAATTCTATCTATCTCTTCTTATTGACAGCTTATAAGAGCTTGATTGACATCGGATGTTGAAATAATCCACAGCGCAATATGTAAGATATTAGCCTAGGGTTTGTTTAAAATTGCTTTGCGTTTGTTAAAATTGCTAAATTTATTGTTGGGCATATTACGCCTTCTACTAAGCACGATGTGTTATTTCTGGTTCAGGATTTGTTTTGGTCATTTTACATAAAATACACAGTAAAATCTCATGGAAAAACAAATTTATCTTGATTTTCCTAACAGTTGTTCTACATGACCAAAACAAACGAGGCGACTAAAGAAACATTCATGTTAGAATAAAAAGTCAGGTAAGTGGTGAATGTCCTCTGACAATCACTGCGTTTTGTGGTATCATTTTTCAACTTAACCTGCCAAACTCTTAAGTAAGCTTGATCTACGTACAAAAAAAAATACTGATTCGTTTGAATAAATTAGCATTTCTAGCTTACAGATGATTTAAATGTGGTTTAATTTGTGTTAAAGTTTTCGTTAAATGAAGAATAAAGTTCCACGACTTATTCATCCTCAATTAACTTCAGTTACTTTTTACTCGCAGGTATCGCAAATAGTGCGGCAATTTCCCCTTCATTTCAAAAAAATCAACGCCAAACTTCGCGCTTGTCAACGAAGAAGTCGAGTGCGGTCTTAGTTTTCATGTCCTGTTTCGACTTGACGACGGCCATAAAAGCAAATTTCTAAGTGTTTGAAAAAAAAACCAAAACGACAGGTATAGTTACCGCAATCATTGGAAAACGATTAGATTTTTTAACTTCCGCGAAATAAGCAATAGGCGGTATTATATACGTATATATATATATATATATATATATATATATATATATATATATGTGTGTATATATATATAAACATGACGAATAGCCCTAGTAAATGTATATCTTTAATGGAAAGTCATTATCGGCAAAAATTTTGTGTCGACTCGTCCGCTGATGTTTACATGTTCGGGAATATTCTGTCGATGTTCATGGATCGATTTCTCTATACACAAGAGATAGAAAATAACAAGAAGTTTAGGCGACGGCACGAAAAGATATAGCTGTTATTACGTTTTGTCGCCGCGCTTTTGATATCAACCTTGAAATTTTCGCGGTTGACATTTCGTGGATCTGATTTGTGTGTCAGCGTTACCTGTTTTCACCAACATTCCATTGAAGTTATCATACCGCGAAAGCGAACACAAAATAAGCTCCAATCGTATTACTATGTTGATATATTGTATTGATATCCGTCATACTGTCATTGCAGCCATAGGTTATAATAAAAATTGTGTCACCAAAACATTGTGATATGATTATTTTTACTGCTTAAAAGGGTGTCAATATTTCATAAAGATCCGTAGTTAGAAAAAAACAACTCATAGTTTTATTTACCGTTTGCTAATCCTCAAACGTCAGCAATGGATGGGGAAGAAACAGATACAATTTATTACGCAGACTTCCCTCTGCATAGCAACTAGTGCCTCTACCAAGGCTCTTACCTTAAACATTAAACCTTTCTTGTATTATGCTCGTTTAATAGACTGGATCTAGCTAAACCTAGTGGCAAATGCTAAAGATGTGGGCAAATTGGGTGCTTTTATGCGCGACAGTGTAGCAACTACTAATAGTATTAGTTTGACTTATTATTTTTACAAATGCTGAAGTCTTACGAGAGTCATTTCTACTTTTTGAATAACTTCGTGCATTGTCTCCTCACCGTCGATGGAATCAATCAGTGAATGGATTGCGTACAGAACACAAGGTAGGTGAGCTGTCAGCTTGTTGCAGTATGGAAACTGGTCGACGAAGACTGTCAGATATTCGAATTTTTTAGGTATTCGGAACTTTCCGATATTATTATTTCAAATTAAAATATTAAATTAAAAAACTAAAAGAAAATTAAAATTAATTTTGATGGTCATGATGATCCATTACGCGTTCCCGAACTCCGTAAGGGTGAGCTCCTACAACAGAAACAGTAAATAGCCCTGTCGGCCAATTTTAGGCATGGAAATACATAAGGTTGGCCGCTAAGTTTTCAATAGGTCTCCTATCTTGGTAGTCTTTCGTTCATGGAAAAATCGTACGTATTAAACAGGCGCACAAACTATTCGAGATACCGATTATTACAGTAATGCTTCTCTAAGCATCAACAGGGGGGCTATAGTTTATACCTGGCCTGCTATTAACTCATCTATATTTTTAATAAACATACGGAACAAGTTGCGCGATATACAGTCATATAAGGTCTTATATGACGTTCTCCTATAAGCCAGATTACCTCTTAGAATGTAAAGCACCTGGGTCAAGCTAACAGCCCTAGGTCGGATAATTCGAGTTATAATATCTCAGAAGCTTACTAGGAAATCTTAATTACGATCTTACCTTTCGCTGAAATTCTTACATTTGGCTATAAAATAATAAAATTATTTTTTTTATTTTACCGAAATTTTTTTACGGAAATTTACCAAGCGGAACTAGGCTTCCTTAAAGTTTTGTACTTTTTAATATATATAATATATAATAATAAAGAACACAGACATGTTTATTGCTTGGTTCGACTAAACAGTCTACGATCCGGATTTACAGAGTGGTTATATAATTGGTGTTTCACATTTACTCCAAGAGCGGAGAGGTTTACGAAAAAAAAAAAGTGAGATTACTACCTATCGATAAGCTCTAAGTGAAGCTATTAGCGCATGCGAAATTTTGACATAAAAATTATTTTTATAGAATTCATTCTGTCAGATAAACGTTTTAATTTCAAATTAGAACGGCTCGAACCTTCTTTTGGCTGAAGATGATAGTTTCCTATGAAGTGGAGCTTTTTGGGTATTCCTAGTTTAGCCTGACCATAACTATCTTGAATTGTCCTCGTCACCTCATTATCGCTGCGCCTAATAGCTAGCTGATCTTATTATTAATAAAAAAGCAATGGTGAAAAGGGTCTCGTTGCTTTTGAAAAACATTTTTGTTCACTAATCACTTGCTAAGAACAGCGACGACAAATTATTATACGTTTAACCTGTTGCTACCAATAGCCATCGTTTTAAAAATCTTAAAAAAAAGTTACCGCGTTAACCTGAAAAATTACCTCTACCTCGTATTGCCTAACTCTATTTTGATGGTCGAGCAGCCACCAGTTTAAATCGAATCAAAATTCATGTTGAACACATGAACACAGTCCAGCGGATCTAGATACACAGAACAATCGCAGACAGCGTTCGTTCCATCGAACAATAAATACTCGGCATATATTATGTGCAAGGAATAATTTACTATAATTCTAGATAGTGAACAGATTACATTTGTATATACCTGCATTGCACTGTACAGTGCAGACGCATGTTTCTAATTACGGCTGTCTTTGTTTACAAAACTTCTAGCTATATTCATCGTCAAGGCTGGCAACTTCTTTTTTCGGAATTTTGATACTTTTCAACTTTAAGAGCTAATTTAGTTTTATATTATTTAGATGTGACTCAAATATTTCATCTGCTGTATCTTTAATCCTACGGAATGACATAATTTCGCTCAATAACGAATAAGCATATTTCAGTGCTTGATTTCGCTGATTTAATTAAGCTGTATTGTTAAAATAAATACATGTATCGAGAGTGTTTATAAGCAATATTTTTTTATCAACATCTGCTCAGACTTGTGAGCATTGGCTTCGAAAGAACCTAACTATCTAAAACGTGTAAAAATATTTGGCTTACATATTACAGCAGGCTTTTACTTTACACATTTTTACATAATTGCAACCTATGTCCTTGAGGGAGGCTGGGTCATAGAAAAATTTATCTACCGATGGCTGGTCTTAGTCGTTGAATCTGCTCTTTCTTCTGGCTTCTTGGCAGTATATCTACTTGGATTGATAGAATAAATATGGTCTACTTCCTGCTTTAGGTAAACTGATGGCAGAGCGTCATGACACTCCGGCGACAAGCGTCGCGTCTCACTCATGGTAAGGATTAGGCCAAATGCCGGAAAATATCGACTTTTTTGAGAGCGAAAAAAAAGGTTATGCTGACAAAGACATTAAGGCGTTCATCTTTATTTAATAATTTAATCCCACATGTTTTATTGTTTATATATGCAGCACAGCCAAAACGGTAGTCATACTGCAGTCTGAGGCACTTCCTATGTACAAGTCATTGCTAGACTTCGTTAAATAAACCTAACAAGTTAACATAAGGCCATGCATAAATAAAATCCATAGAGACTACAAAACAGCTGACTTCGGCTTCTCGTCTTCATGTAAAAGTTCTAAGTAATCTACTTTTATACAAAGCGCTAAATTCTAATATGCGCATCTTTTCGAAGCTATAGTATCAAAAATACGATACTTAGAATTAAATTTTACTTTCATATCATTTATAATTGGTAAAAGGCGCAAATTAATAGTGTATATTTTGGCTGACAAAGGGGCAGCTCAGTTCATTACGTGCTGTATCGTGACCTGTCTTCTGTTATTCCTCGGTCTTTTGCCACAGTTGATTAGACAGCTTTACTGACCTTCAGCTCGTCAAAGCTCAAACGGTATTGGCCCTTAACGTTCCCCATGACAAGCCCTTTTGTTGGCAGCACATACTATTATATAATCTATACCATATTTTTCTTTTTACTTCGGAGGTATTGTTTTCTGCAAGCTACATATTGCACACTGAATAGGGTACAGCTTAAAGCACATTTTGTGTAACCGAGTCCAGAACCCATGCGCAAAGTACATGAGGAATGGCCGCCGCGGAATGGACTAGCAGCACCTATATAAGAACGCCAACAGCAGTTAGACCCTTCTTATGTGCGGGCTGAGGACACATATTGAGATGCTTGACACACGACGGGGAGTAAGATCAACATTATTCTATCTGTACACCATTTGCAGAAGTCCAACTAGCCTCAGGAGGTATATACTTTCAAAAGTATACTAAATATATTGAACCGAAATTCAAATTGCTTATATTATAGGTACCTCCAATTTGCAGGATAGCCTCCTCAGGACATCCGCGTGCAATTGCCTTTCGGACTTCAAAATGACTTGTACAAATTTGCGATTAAGCAGTACAGAACGATTTTTTTTTTAACTTTTTTCGCTATTGCAGAATACGAAAGCGAACACCCTAATAATAGACACATCTAACAGGTTTGAATATTTTGTAAAATAGAGGCTGTTTTACTAGTATCAAAAAGTACGCCGGAGAAGGGTGGAAATTAAATGGTTCAAAGCCCCACCCAAAAAATTAATCAGAGTATAATAGAGAAATAACTTTAACACACGAATTAATCATGTGATATAAATGGATAGCTAGCAGACGGAACGGAAGACTGCTGTTTGTTTTGCGAGATACGCGACAAATGTAGATTGTACAAGCCAGATGCTGTAGATGCAAATAAAAGCAGGAGTAATCAAATCGTGTCTTCTCAGAAAAACGCCAATCATCTAGGGAAAAGAAGTTCGGTCAAAGAAATATACGATGCATGACAGAGTACGTTATATTGAACTAGGACCTAGGTACAAGCCGTCACCCATTCGGGTGACGGCTTATACCTAGGTTCCTAAGATTGACACCCTGAAAACTATACTTAGACACTGATTTTTGTGACGCATGAGAAATCGGATTTCGAGATTCTCGTTTTTAATCGAATTGACTTCTCTGATTTGGTTTTGATAAGTACAGAGAGATTTTTGTAGTTGGGACTCGCAATGAGAACCTGCCAGGCTCGGTATAGTTGAGAAAAGGGGATTTAT